AAGACAAAAGACAAAAAAAAAAAAAAAAAAAAAATTTTATGAGGAAGAGCTGGCTGGTTAGTTCAGTTGGTTAGAGCGTATTGTTATAACATCAAGATCAAGGGTTCAGATCCTCACAGGCCAGCCACCCAAAACAAAACAAAAACAAAAACAAATTTTATGAGGGGAGATTTCTACACCTGATTTTACTGCCATTAGCGTAAAATATTAAAATATATTAAAAGGCCCCAAGTATCAATATTAATTGCAAAAAAAACTTTAACACAATAAAGGCTCTGAAGTCAGACTACTTGGATTCATATATGTTTCATTCACTGGCTTACAACTGTATAACTTTGCAAGTTAGCCTCTCATTCTATGTATCAGGTTCCTCAGCAATAAAATGAGGAGGAAAAGGGTATATAAGAATTCTTCGGAAAGTTCATGGAAAGATTCCTGTTATCTTTTAATCCTATTTTTCCACAAACTATTTTTTTTCCTACAAACTTTTTGAAGTATCCTCCTATACCCCACTACGGATGTAAAGATTAAATAAGAAAATATATGAAAAGCACTTAGGACACTGACTAGCACATAGTAAATATATAAAAAACATTAACTTTAATATCAATTTTTTAAAAATTATAATGCAGAAACTTGCTGATTTTTTAAAATGACTATTCTTCTAAAACCATAAACATGTTAAGTATAGAGAACAGTTACTAATTAAATGCTATTGGTAACTTTTTAAAAAAAATTCCTGATACCCATTAGAGAGGACTTAACCTCTACAAAACAAGCAAAACATCTGAAAAGAAATATCTGAGTCCTTATTATGTGCCCGGCACTGTTCTAGATACTTAGGATACATCAGTGAAAAAAAAGTTAGACAAAATCCCCACCTCCCTGAAACTCACATTCTAGTGGGTCTGCTGATTATATATTTATGGCAAGTTACATGGATTCTAGTCCAGTATGGATCCATAAATCCCATCTCAACTAAACCAGAATCTTCCAATCTGGCCTCCAGGCACAAGATCTCTGATGATCAACCTTTGATTATGTGAGCACAATAAACCTTTACTGCAAAGTGCTTTAGTGGTCCCCAGCTTATACTCTGGTATTCATTTAGCAGATAAGCCTCTAGTGACAAAAGTTGAAGTATAACAAACAAGGCATTTTTCTAAGAGCACTTTTCCAAATGCAAAAGAATCTCTACCTTCATTCCTAAAAAACCTGTAGGAGTTACTGGAAATCAGGCTCACTCTATTCTTTTCTGACAGATGAAAACTTGGAAGAATGTAGTTTGGGAGCTACCGACCACCATCTTGGGATTACAAGGGTAGAGGCTGTCTGGTAAAAAAGCCAACATGTGGAGGAAAGTAAAGCCAAACCAAGAACCAGAGAGAAACCCATTCTCAACAACAATGCCTGGTCTTCTAAATCCAGCTATACAAGAAGCCAGATATACCCCTAGACTTCTCCACTACACAAACTAAATAAATTTCCTTTTAACTCTGCCAATTTGGGTTGAATGTTCTGTCACTTGCAACAAAAACAACAAAATCCTAAGTGACATATATTCCAACTGCTATCTTAATAGAACAAATAAGCAAACAAACAAACATACATCAAAACCACCAGTGAGGGCTGCCCTATGGCTCACTTGGGAGAATGTGGTGCTGATAACACCAAGGCCACGGGTTCGGATCCCTATATAGGGATGGCCGGTTAGCTCACTTGAGAGAGCGTGGTGCTGACAACACCAAGTGAAGGGTTAAGATCCCCTTACCGGTTATCTTTAAAAAAAAAAAAAAAAAAAAAAAAAAACACTGAAAAAAACATACAGACAAATTATATAATATGCTTCTGTTGGGGCCAGAATAAAAAATAAAGCTCTTACTTACCATACGTGCAAAACATGCAGTAAGGATTCCACTTCCAGATCCTACATCGAGAGCTTTAGCTCCTTCATGCAATTGATCAAATAGAAGTTCTAGTGCATATGCGTGCTGCCAAAAGAAAACAAAGCAAATATTCATTTTTTTCAAAACTCTAAAGAATATACACCATGGCATATAAATAAAGTTGCCAGCTCTCTACCAATTTTTCTACTACTGTCATTTACCACCATGGCATATAAATAAAGTTGCCAGCTCTCTACCAATTTTTCTACTACTGTCATTTACCAAGACAATGAAAATATATTACATACTTGTATCTACACAAGAATTACACAAGAAGATTCTCACTGTTCAATTAGAATTTTTACATTTAGATAAAGTGTTTTAGTAATTTTAGATCCAGTGTGTGAATTTTAAAAATTTAATTAATTCAACGTCAAAAGATACAAAAGGATTTATAGTGAAAAGTCCCCATGCCACTTCTATCCCCAATCATCCAGTTTCACTCCCTAAAGGCAACCAATGTTACCAGTTTCTTGTGATTCCTACCAGAAATATTCATTTTATGCAGATACAAATACGTATGTATCTTTTCATTTATATTTTGAAGGACCTTTCATATCAAGACTTAAACAGCTTGTTCATTCTTTTTTACGGCTGAGGGATATATTCCTGTATAGATTTCTTATAGCAACAAATATCACTAATGAGAGATTTATGTTAGCTCCAATCGTCTATAACAAAAAGAAATAAAATAATCTTATATCTGCAGGATAATAAAATAATAATCTTTATAAAAATTTTATAAAGTATATCTATATAACAAATTCCTAAAAGTAAAGTTAAAAGGGTCAAAGGATATATGTTTTTATGTTTACATTACATATAAATTATGAATAAAATCATATTGTTATGCTTTGGACCAAATCAAGAAATAAAACCTTCCTCAACCAAGGTCAAGAGTTCAGATCCCCATACCAGCCAGCCATGGAAGGAAGGAAGGAAGAGGAAGAAAGGCAGCCAGGAAGGAAGGGGAGGAGAGAGGAAGGAAAGGAAGGAAGGAATCCACTTTATAAACTTGCATTTCAGAGCTTTTCCAAAAGATGAGGCTGGAACTAATAAATGTTATTTCAAAAAGCTGTCCTTAAATGCCTGGTATTTTCATTATTAAACATCAATCAGATCCAGTAGCAATAAATGTATTTACAACCACATCTTGGTTGATAGAAATACATATTCATGAATCCATCATGATTAAAAATATGTATACTTCTATACATATTTAAATGGAGAATAAGGAGAAATGTTCCCAACTAATAAATACAGAAGAAATGATGAACTTAGAAAATCGTCTTTCAGATCCCTGTACGGGCCAGCCGCCAGGAAAAAAAAAAATTGAGAAAAGACATAATCGTCTTTGAGCAACCATCTCAGTAACAACTGATTTACACAAAAATCATAAATGGATGCTAAAACTTGTGGATTAACATTTGACAAGTAACAGGATATTTTACATAATCTCAAAGCATTCACCCCAGATATTTATTAATTACAAAGGAAAAACAGTAACTTTACCATGGAGTTCAGAAAAAAGTTTTTTAGTGGAGAAACCTGGTTGACACTACTTCAATCAAATGATTAAAGTTAAGATCACCAATAATGGGACACATTGATATCACATGCCTCTGCTAAGACACATCACTTCTGGGACATTCTGGGCAAAAATGCACAAGCCATATGGAATTATGATGAAAAATTAAACTCAAACTGAGGGACATTATATAAAATAATTGGCCCATATTCATAAAAGTTTTCAAGGCCATAAAAGACAAGACTGGGGCCGGCCCGGTGGCGCACTGCTACAGTGCGCCGCGCGCCGAGGGTTCGGATCCCACATACAGACCGGCCGCTCACTGGCTGAGCGAGGTGCGGGTGCAACACCGAGGGTTGCGATCCCGTTGCCAGTCCCGGTCCAGTACGGGCGCGACACTGAGGGTTACGATCCATTGCTGGTCACACAAAAAGGAAAAAAAAAAAAAGACAAGACTGAAGAAATGTTTTCTCAGTCTTTCTTTAAAGAAAACCAAAAACACATGGCAATCGAATGAAATTTATGATCTGCAATTTTCTTTTCCTATAAGGAACTTTATCACAACAACTGATAAAATCTAAATAAGGTCTGTAAATTGGCTAACAGTGTTGTATCAATGTTAATTTCCAGATTTTGATAACTGTACTGTGGTTATGTAAGAGAATATACTTATTTTTAAAGGTAAAAAGCATATGCCTGCAATTTACTTTCAAAGAGCTCAGAAACACGCACACACACTTATCTATATATGGGGAGGGAGTGAGGAGAAAGAGAAAGAATAAATAATAAAGAAAATGTGGTAAAATAACATTTGGGAAACGGTATGCAGAAATTGTACCACTTTTACAACATTTCTCTAAGTTTGAAATTATGTCAAAATAAAATCTTTTCATCATCAGAAATAGACAATGTCAAAATAAAGAGTAGAATGAAAATTCCCTATTCTCCAAAACTAATCTAGGTGATAAAAGCCAGAATACTGGTCACTTTGGGGATGTGAGCTGACTAGGAAAGGGCATGGGTGCTGAAAATGTCCTGTATCTTGATCTGGGTAGTGGTTATACATAAGTTCACATGTAAACATTCTTCAAGGTGAACACTTAAGATATGTGCACCTTATTATGTGTATTTATAACAATAAAAAAAAATTTTAAGACTACTTATTCTAATCACTGAAAGTGGATGATCAGATATCTTGTACTTCCTGATGTGATGCAACAGGAAGGACCATGAGAAAGTGTTCTAGCAAAAGTTTTTTTAATTTAAAAAAGGGACAAGTTGAACACAAACAACCAATTCTTTAGGACAAATGAACTAGTTCCGTCAATAAATAAATGGCATTTGCTAAAAAAGAAAAAAGGCTGGCCAGTTAGTTCAATTGGTTAGAGCAGATCCTTGTGATGCCAAGGTCTAGTGTTCAGTTCCCTGTGCCCACCAGCCACCAAAACAAACAAACAAACAAAC